CCCCCCACCCCCAACCTTGAAATATGGTAGACAACCCACTAAAATAAGTTAAATTACACTATTGATATAAAAATTATTTGCATTTTTAGTGTATGTACATTAATTCCTACTATTGTGAAGGTCAAATTGTTCTTTAACTAGGAACATGTTAAATAATACTAAAAATTATGATAGTACTTTGTCTATTGTTTTTGAACATGTACATTTAGACATTTGAGTCGTTTGGTACAATGGTGGGATATCCCATGGCGATTAGCTATCCCGCCTTCTATATGGGATAGCTAATCTCACCATTTTCGTGTAAAGTTATCTCGGGATTAAACTTTATCTCAAAATTATAATTCTTATCCCATATACAAAACGACCAAGAAAATTAGAAACACTGACCTCCAAACACAATCATTCTTTTTTGAAGGGGTGTTATTAGCTTATAGTACAACTTACAAGGTGCAACATTGGCAGCATTTTTTTTTTTGTGTGGAGATAATCAAATTAGTAAAAAAGAAATCCACCATAACCAATGAGATAATCTCTTTTGGAGCTTTGTAGCAGTTGATTATCTCTCCATACTTCCCCTCCTAATCTCTAATGAATAATAACTATAGTGCGCATTTACTTTAACAACATGTCAAGTCACTTTCTATTCATTTTTCCTCTGTCTTATGCAGTTATTTCAGGGAATGGATTTTTTGCATATAAGATAGGATTCCGAAACACAGCGGGTCCAGAAAAGTTACAAGCAGTGGCACTCCGCGTCCAAGCTGATCACACAATATTTGTGAATTGTCGCATGGAGGGTTACCAAAGCGTGATCCACGCTGCAACCCATCGACAATTCTATCGCGGCTGTTACATTACAGGCACGGTTGACATTATCTCGGGCAACGCTGCTGCTGTATTCCAGAATTGCCAATTTTACCTAAGGAAACCACTGGATGACCAAAAGAACGTCATTACTGCTCAAGGAAGGTCGAACAAGCGTCAAACCACAGGGACCGTCTTGCAAACGTGTGGCATTTTCGCGGACGATAAGCTTGAGCCTGAAAAATCGAAGGTTAAGAGTTACTTGGGTCGACCAATGAAGGAATATTCGAGGACGGTTGTAATGGAGACGGACATTACTGATGTGATTGACCCTGAAGGATGGGTAGCCTCGAACGGGGATTATGCGTTAAGCACCCTGTATTTTGCAGAGTACAGCAACAAAGGCGCTGGATCTGAAGTCGCCTCTAGAGTCAAGTGGGCTGGATATCAAGGGGCGATAGGCAAAGATGCTGCCCAGAATTACACAGTTGAATCCTTGTTACAAGGCCAAACTTGGTTGAAGGATTATGATGTTCAAGTCCGTTTTGGCCTTTCCAACTGATGATCATGATCATGTCAAATTAATCTTCTTTCATGTCAAATTATGATCTTCTTCATCTTAATTTAGTTTGTTCGTATCATGTTGTATGAGTTTTATAAGTAGTGAACAATATGCGCCTCAGACGAAAATTTTTCTACAATATATACGCACATTACAAAGAAGCTATATATGATAAATAATTGTGATGAATACTACTACTCATTGTCTATTTCGTACAACTAAGTAGAGATAAATGTAGAGATAAGTTCTTTTATAGCAGCTCGCTTTTCTTTATCAGATGCCCACCTGGTGTCCGTACCAAATTAACTAATAATACACTCTAGGTAATTGCATCATGGCAATGGTGTGTAAGGAGAAAGAGGACCTATTTCGCGATGTTTTATACTGTGGTTGATCTGTGGTATATAAATAAAAGCCTTATCGAGCCATAGGTCTTTTGCATGAGCCAGGACCGTCAGGAACAACGCTAAAGAGTCATTGGATAAGCAGAGGCGGACCTACCTTGGAGGTAGGGGGTCACCGGAACCCGTTAGCCTCGGCAAAAATACTGAAAAAATATATTATGCACATTTGTATATACAGTGGGGACCCCTCAAATAATTTACCTGGCCCCGTTAAGTAATAAAAGCCGGACAGAAGCTCTGGTTTTTTAGCCTGCTCAAGTGCTTCAGTTAGTTGATGGACCCAGGTTCGAAACTTCACTCCTTCCCCTTTATCTTTTTAATTCAACGATTGTTACTTAGTATACTAATCTACTATTTTTTTTATTTTATCTTTTCTGATTTCTTTAATGCTTGTACCAATACTCAACCTAAATTTTTAACCTTTTTAAAAAACCCTCGCTCACCCCTTCCTCACTCCTTCCCTTTATCTTTTTTAATTCAACGATTGTTTACTTAGTACTAATCTACTACTTTTTTAATTTTATCTTTTCTGATTTCTTTAATGCTTGTACCAATACTCAACCTAAATTTTTAACCTTTTTAAAAACCTCTCGCTCACCCCTTCTGCTTAAAAACAAATATTCTTTTTCAATTGATTGTTTTAACATTTTTCTGCATTTGCTGAACTCTGACTGTGCGAATCAGCGACGGTGACTTAGTTTGAGACTCTTCTTCAGCTGAAACATACTCTTAGTAAGTTTTTTTTCTTTTGAAGATATTAACTTAGCAAAATAATTTGCTATCGAACTTTTGCTTTCTGCAAAGAGCCGAGTTAAAAGAGAACGCCAAATTAATGTCGTAGCTAGTAGGCATTTGAAAATTGAGTGCTAATGTTAATTTGAAATATTCTTTCAGTGAAGTGTTTGTCTTCAAACAAAATTGTGTTTGAAAATTAGTATAAAAGCAGAACTTCGAATTAGGATTTCTTTTATAGGACTAGGGTGAAATTTCGAACTTGTTTAATTTAATTAATACTTGTTCCCATAGTAGTTAGGTTAAGTAGTAAGCCTTAAAATCTTATTATAACTTGAACATTGGAATTGTTTTTATTAACAAAGTAGTAAGCATTAAAATCTTATTATAACTTGAACATTGGAACTGTTTTTATTAATAAAGTGTGTAGTATAATAATATGCATTTCTTACAAATGGATTTTGGTCATGGGATAACTTTGTTGTCCACTTGGTAACAATATAGTATTTACGTATATAAGTAATGATATTTAATAAAATTAAAGTTTGTATTTTGCTGATAATTTATCATAATTATATGTATTTATACTATGTATTGACTCCCCTTAATTTTCTGATATGTTTACTTTTATATATTTGGAAACCCCTTAACGAAAATTATGGATCCGCCATTGGCCAGTAATTGGTACGCTTAATATAATAGTGCCCCCGTAATGCTCAAATCCTGGGTCCGCCTCTGTGGATAAGTCACGGATTAATTTAGACTCAAGGTTAATAGATAACCCGAGTAGATTAATGTTTAGATCGTAATACTGGTTGGTAGATTAGGGCATGAATTCCTTTATGGAGTATGAAACAACAGGATGGACAGTAGATTATATCTAATAGGGAAATTGTCCGATTACATTTGCTATTGATTATTCGGAAACGAGTGTAATAAGTAAGTCCTTAACTTGGTGCGTCGAATGCTTGATATTCAACATATATAATAAAATCCTAGATTGAACGTGATCATATGATACAAAATGAATATAGATAAGTAAGGAGGAACGGCGTACTAATTGTTTGAGTCAGGTCGAATTGTAGATGGACCAAGTCTTTTCCTCTATTATCATATCCCGTTCGGGCAGTGTGAATGGGACAACAATCTCACACCTTTTGGTATATCTTAGGTGAGGCAAATAAGTGTCTTATACTTATAAGGTTTAGAGAGGGGGGCGTCACTGCAAATATTACGGGTCTCGTTGGGCTAAACATACATTCATCGCTTGATCACATAAAGTGCATGGCCTAATATTGATCAGTTATCACATTTATAATTTACTTCATATTTACAGACGACCATACAATCAAAAATAGTCAAAAATATAAATAAAATATTTAGGTAGTTATTTAGGTAATATAAACCCAACATTCTCCCGTTTGGACTACGTATACATTAGCATATATTTTCAAAAATAAAACAAGCTTCGGCTTTCTTCAATTTCCAACTGATGAAAGAAAATATTGTAGCCACATTTTAAAAGCAAAAATCCTTAAAGTTTAATCGACTCTTGCTAACTCAATCTTAAACACTATGGCGATCAATGTTGTAAAGTCCCATAAATTTACATAAGGTGTATAAAACCAGTACGAGTATAAATATAATAAAATCATTGGAGTACATTGACGAGCTTATGGTGTGTGTTGGAGAAGGTATATAGTATCATAGGATGCATTACCTATCAAAACAAATATCTTTGAGTCTAGTTTCCACACTTCAAAGCGTTCGTTATTTGGACACTCCTATAAAGAGTTATGGCCCTTGGACTACAGACTATGTGGCAGTCAGGTTAGGTGCCCAGATGGGTGCACCAGTTCTAGCGCCCTGTCCGGAACTCATTTTTGGGGCAGGGCTGGAGAGGTCGAGGGGCACCACCTGTAGCTGTCACCTCCCATCCTTTAGAGACACGTTAGGGCAGCCATTTTGGTCTAAATTTTAGGCTAAGTATTGAGACTTCTCTCCTCCTCTCCTCTTAGGTTTCAATCTCACTAACCAAGGTAAATTCCGTGAGTTATTTTGTGTTACTTACAAGTGTTTAACACATTTGAATTGTCTTAAACTTCATAAAATTGTCTAGATTCTTAAAATCCACCAAGAACATTTGGAAGAGAAAATTTCTGTGGTTTGCTACAAGAGATAAGATCCAAACTCCATGTATGATTTTTATGGTTTATTTAGGGATACTTACGTAGGAAATGAGTGTTATGACTTATGGGTTGGTGATTGAAAGCGATAAGTGCCTAACCTAGAATGTGTTAATATTGTAGAGAATTATTGAAAGTCTCATTTATGAAATTGAACATGTGGAGGTTGTTTGTTGATGATAAGAGTATTAATGAAGGTTGGCGATCACCCTATAGTATTAATGAATCATTGAATAGTAGCACGGATGATTGTTGGACAAAAAATTACCATAAATAAAAGTTGGAGGTATTAATGTATACTAAGTGTTTGATAAAATGCCTAAGTGACCTAAATCACGTATTCTTTGGTTTTGACTCGAATAATTTATATTATTATAGAGTGATACTATAAAGTTGGTTAGGCATCATGTGCATTAATATACGTTGGCTAAACTCTTTTTATACGATTGTTTCTCTAAAATTCCATGTCTCGTTTCAAACTTATGACCTCAAGTGCCACATTAATTATGACAATGATGTTATAAATGTTTCAAGCTCCTACATGTCTAACATATTGATGTATTTTTTCTTGAACTTGAATAACTCCTTCCATGTGTTCTTCATATGTTATGATCGCATTTGCTATGTCTCATATGATAAAATATTATACATATTTCAAGCTATTAAATGAAAATGTAAAATAAAATGAGAAAAGGTTGTTATGCTACTAATGAGATCGAACTTCAAAACTAATGATTTTAGCTGTACCATACTTAAAGAATATTTTTGAGTGTCTTATTATGTAACCGAGAAAGTATGGGTCAAAGGTAGCTAATACCCGAAGCTGCATATATTGTTGTAGGATTATGATCGCATCATTAGCTTGCACTAATAGAAATTCGGCCAAAACCGACTGATGTCGATCGTCCGACTTCGGGTGGTCAAAATACCAAATATTTTATTTTTTCAATTTTTTTTACGAAACAGATCAACTTCGATCGATTTTTATGCACAAAAATGTGGGAAACTATTTTTCCGTCCTGCAAATTTTATTTTTCAAGAAACCGATCAACTTTGATCGGTCATTTTAAAAAATCAACCGATTTCTTTCGGTAATTTTATTTTTTTTAATCAAACCAACCGACATCAGTCGGTTATTTTCACATAAAAATGCAATTAAAGATTATAAATAAAATTAAAAAAAAAAAGCCTTAAACTAAAATGCATCATTGGTCTAGTAGTAGAATAATATCCTGCCACAATAGAAACCTCGATTCTATTCTCGAATGGTGTATTTTTTAATTAAATAATTAAAAATACCAACCGACTTCGGTCGGTTTTAACGGCAGATTTTTTTCTTTTTTAGTCGTTTGTGAAATTTAATTGACCGACCGAAATCGGTCGAAAAATATCGAAGTCGTTGGTTGGCTCTACCGACCATACGATTACCGACCGCCACGAATCGGTCGATTTTGACAATTAGCAACCCTTTTTTTAATAGTGTTGGGTGACTAGATAGACCCCCTTGGTTAGGAATAACGAGTTGTTAGCAAATTATTGTCGATTCACACGGTATTGTGGTGAAATGACTTTTAGTCGATCGAGTCTAGATTGGACTCCATATAGTACACATGCTGGTTTAACGAAACGATCCATAATTAATGAACTCCCACTAAAATGATTAAGTTTATTTTAATCT